GTTGTTTTTGCCTCTGAATTTTTGTTACCTTCTTTAAAATTTTCGAACTTTCTTAAACTTCTCATCCTCGTCTACATCTCTCGTTATATCAAATATCAGATTTTTTCCTTTCTTTACTTGATCAGCAACTTTCCTTTTGCTCTGCGTGCTTTCCATAGACTTAGATGTAACTACAGCACCCGCCTTTAATAATAATTTATTCCAAAACTGAGAATAATTTTAATTCTATTACTATCTACATGCACTGCTATATATAACTGTGGTCAAGAAGGGAACATCTTAAAATACTTTATGCGAAGACCTGTGTACATTTCTCAAAAATTTGACTTGACAGTCATGAGAAATTACTTTTAATTGAACTCCAAATTTTACTATTAATTTATGTAAGAAATGATTTTCGCAGCTGCGCTTCAGGTAACTACTTACTCTTTACCCACTTTTGGAAATGAAAAAAAATTGGCCAAGACAAAAAGTCCAAAGAAAATAGCTTCCGACAACATAACCCACTACCAAACATCCAAGGACTAAAAGGCTTCTGAATTTTGTCCTGCAAACACATTTTAAATTGTTTGGTATTTGAATATATGCACACGATATAAAAGTGTACCATGGCCTATGCATTAATCAGTAATTATGTTGTGCATGAAAATACATTATAAAAAAAATATGATGTGAGCACCAAATGACTTTTACGTCCAGCGTGTTAAATTTTATACATTCTTTGCTGCACTACATTTGAACTGTTCCTCAGGTTCAAATGTAGAGTTTTTCTAATTTAATTAATTGTTCCTCCGCGGCAAGTTGAAAATGACACTAAAAGGTGCAAATTCTAAAATTAAATATCCCCTTAATTTTTTGTACTACGGAAGTTAAAAGGCTTGTATACTTATTTTTTGTAACGAGTGTAAATCTTTCCTGAATAAAAATATACGTACTGGGACACTGCATCAAAAGCTAGACATTTAGACAACGTTAGCAAAACTTACATGAACTTTTAGAAGTTTTAAAACAACACTTTTTTCCTTCTTAAGTGACACAATTATTAGTGCTTTCAGAAGAAAGGAACACAAAGAAGACTAATATCATTTATTGGGGAAGTATTAGCAATTTAATTCCGTTTATTGAAAAATAGCACCTAGGTTATTAGTAAAAATTCATTTTAACTTACAAAAGGGACGTGGTATTATAAGTTAATCATCATGTTCTGGACACATTCTAGCTTTCAAAATTACCATTCAAGTGAATTTGCTGTCTAAGCTGCTCTTAAAACGATTTATTAAAGTTTAAAGAAGCCGTAAAATACATATTTTACAATTCAATGAAAGAGTAAAAAATACTGTCCGATTCCTTAAAATTCTTTTTTTTTTTTCAAATTTTGTTACATTTTTATAACAGATTTTATTTGTGTTGTCATCGAAAAGCATATCCAGTCACGAGAATGGATTTCCCCCTGCCTATGCTGTGCGAATACATTTTGCGTAAGTGCAACTTCCCAGATAATTACATATATTTATAAAAACATATATAAGTCCTGATTAATTTTGTCGTCTTTTTCATTTCTAATTCATATATAAATCATAATTCCTTTCCTAGATTCAATTTTCATATAAACAGCTGCATTAGCATAAAATGGAACAATAAATAGGCCATTGTTCCACTAAGTACAAATTATTAATAGCAATTTATTTACCTATTAAGTTAGCTAAAACGCAACTGGAAAATTCATTCAGAGTCATACCATTTTATATAATTTAGTCAAAATAAGATTTTGCAGTCTGTTCTATTTATAATATTCTGTTTTATTCAAATTGAATTAAAATATTTTTTACTTTACTATCTTTTTCACGTAATGTTAAACTCAAGCAGAAGGAATAATTAAATTCCAAAGAAAAACTGTTCTAGGGCATTTTCTGATCTTTTCGAGCTTATTAATGAAATCAATAGTGTATTCACAGACTATTCGATCATGGATAATGAAAATCAAATGTCTGAAATCCTTAATGCCCCAACTAGCTTGGTTAAATTTTACAGATTAGTCGACATATTTGAAGATATCTTCAATGATTCCGCTCATTCAAATAATTTCCTTGTATACATCATTCATACATTTCTTAATATTCTCTTGGTAAATTAGCATTTGTGTATAATCTACTTAGTATGTTTTTGTCGCTCATGTCGTATATACCTTTGTACATATTGCCTACTGATTTTTACACTGCATTTTACTATTATCTATGCATTTGATTTTTAACAAGCTTACTACTTCTTCATTCATTACTGTACAGGCTTAGCACTAGACTTTTTGCTGCCTATTCAGTCCCTGCAGCTACTAAATTCTATTTACTAATTTAGCATATAGATGCAATTACAACTATAGTATTTACTAATTTAGCATATATATGCAATTACAACTTTGAAAACACTACTAAATAGAATAACTATTTAGTAATGTTTTCAATGTCTTCAGGAAAGTATAATTTTCCAAAGGAGCTTTTCTGATGGACCTACCATCTGATTTGTAGCTTATCAATTACATATCTTTCATAAAAGCAGTCTCAATATTATACCTTATATTTTTAGAAGGTTTAATATTTTTGATTTTATACAAGGAAATTATTAAAAAATTTACCTGGGTGAATGACTCACTGTAAATGCAATTAGAATGCAATTCTATAATAAACAGTCGAAAGCAAATAAAAGTTCTTTTTCAATTTCTAATATTGCAAAAATAAATAGTATATATGATATGATCAGAGACTAAATTAAAAATAAACTTGACAAAAACACTAAAGCTCCTAGATTTAACATACTTCTAATATTCATTTAGGTTGGTACTAATCTCTATTGGTAGCATTTAAAAGTATGGAGGGAACTGTCTATTTTTCCACAGGACAACATTGATAGTTATAATAAAAGAATTCAAATTGGGTACTAATTTTATTATTTCAGAAATTAAGTTTTCGCAATAAAATTAGATTTTCGGTGCTAAATGGTTTACCATCTGCAGCAAAGTCACTGGAACATCCAACTTTTTTTAGGAGCTGTATTTCTACATTATTAATTATAGCTTAAATCATGAGCTTTTATATCTAAGAAGAATATTAATCTACACTACTATTTACCCTTATTTTAACACATAGGATTTTCCAAATAAGTGGGAATACTATGAGGTGTGATACACAAAACACACACACACAATAAAAGAGACTGGTCCAATAAATCATTGTACTTACAGAATCAGTTCCCTGTGACATTATCACCTTCTAAGTAGTCTCCTTCAGCATTCATACACTTCTGCATTTGGTGCTGCCGTTACTAGTAACAATTCAGGAACGAGGTTTTTGGAAGGCCCTTCAGGAGATTCTCCGTTTTTGCCTGAACCTCTTCAACTGAGGTAAAATGGCTTCCTTTTTAAGCAAGATTTAAGTTTAGGAAATAAAAAAAAAAAAAAAAAAAAAGAGTCGCATGGAGCCAAATTAGGTGAATAAGGAGGACGCCCGATCACAGTAATGTTTTTGTTGGTCAGAAATTGCTTGATAGATAGGGCTGTGTGAGCGGGTGCACTGTCCTGGTGCAACAGCCATCCATCACAACTGTGTCCTTTTCCCCCTGATTTTTTCATGAAGTCTTTTTAATACTTCAGTGTAGTAGTGTTGATTAACAGTCTGATTACTGAGAAACCACTCAATCATTACAATTCCATTCATGTTGAAGAAGACAATTAGCATTGCCTTGAATTTCGATTTTGACATGCGTGCTTTCTCCCTGAAAACCACTTACGTCATTCAAACACGCACACGAGATAAAATTTCATCTCCATCAGCCTCAGTTAACATTTGAAATGTTTCTGTGGCTGATTTCTTAAGTTTCACATGAAACTTGATGTTGATTCGCTGTTCAGTTTTTACATTAGACATTTTTTCCGGCAGAATGCAGTTGCACGTGTTCACTCAATGACACAGTACTCTCAACTGGTGTGATCGGTTAAGTCGAAACTGGCCACATGGATAGAGATGTGTGGGATGATGTCACCAAAACAGTTGTTGCCAACTCCGCTTTTTTTTTTCAAGCTACACTTAGTCTTGTTTTTTTTTTTTTTTTTTTTTTTTTTGTGTGTGTGTGTGTGTGTGTGTGTGTCACACTTTTTATATCACATTTTCATTCTCCCTCAGAGAGGTAACTCTTTCACAATAAGAATTTAATTTGAAATGGTGTAGATGTTCTTTCTCTTTTGCATTTCCCAGGACCTCAGAGAAATTTTGAACATAATAAATACTTCACATAAAACAAGTTTAAAAATTCAAAATGATTATTAGCCAAGAAATACAGTACAAAGTCCGTAATCCGGACCTCAAAGCTACAAACTTTTTTCTTTTTTTTTTTGTATGCTTTACGCATGCGTGTTTAGCACACAAAACAAAGCAACTTAAGCAACTTACATTGAAAGAAATGTTTAATAAAGTAAACAAATAAATATTAAGCTTTTTTTTTTGTAAATTTTGATACCTTTTAGATCATAATTGCTCTTTATTTCACAAATTATGGTTTCATATTTTTAATTGTATAATTTCTGCATGCCATCTTACCAGATTTAAATTTATGATCTATAATCCGGAAAAAGCCCTAATCCGGAATCGCCTAAGTCCCGACGAGTCCGGATTGTGGACTTTGTACTGTATATGCCCACTGAAAATATGTTAAAATGAAAAGAAAAATATAAAACAAATCTTTTTGTTGAAATATTTAGAATTTTATTTAATTTAAATAAATTAACTAATCAAAAACAAATTCATTAATTCCCTTTTAAATAAATGGTATCCACCCTTCAGAATTTACTTATCAGTTGCACGGTACAGAATAAAATGAATATGATAATTCTGGTTAATTACAAAACATTAAAATCAGCATAAGATAAAACACCCAAAAAAATTATTTTCATCACTTGTTTTAAATGATTTAAAAAAGGCTATTGTACCATCCAAAGAAATTAAGAAAAGCTCTTTTTAAAGACAATATGTGATTTTATTCTGCTTCTATAAAAATAACATTCAGAATATGACTGGTGCAGGACAGTATAATAATGCTTCCCATACTCTTGGAACAATTACATAATATAATACAAGTTGTTCCTTCAAATCACGTAAGCTAATCTACTTGCTTGTTTTGTTTTTCAGCAACTGATATAGCATACCCCTCTCAACAGCTTCTGTGGAAAAGAAAAAATGAAATTTTTCAATATATGACATTCAGATTTATTTTATTATTATTGCTGACTATAAAGATAAAACACACTGAAAATTTTTTTAATATATTATAGCACTATTATATACAGTGGTGGCCAAAATTGTGGACACTTTTGGAAATTTTTATGTTTTTGAACTTTGTATGCTTATAGAAAACGTTACGTTTCACAAAATGCAAACTTGTATATATCATTTTAAAGAGAATTTATTACTGAATTCAATACAAAACACAAAATTCAAATTATTTGCAATACAAAAAAAAAAGTTAAACGATAATAGTTAACAATATACATTAGATAGTGATGATTGCAGTGAGTCATCAGTGCTTAGTAGGGTACCCTTTATTTTTTATTACAGCTTCACATCGACATTTCATTGAGCTGACAAGAGTTTTAAGCTCTTCTTTCGTCATTAAATGATGCCAGAAAACAATTATAGCCTCAATTAATTTCCTTTTATTTGATGGGCGCCTCATTCGGACAAAAGTTTTCAAACGGTGCCACAAATTTTCGATAGGATTGATGTCAGGACTGTTTCCTGGCCATGACAACAATTTAATGCTCTTTGTACGAAACCACTCTTTCGATATTTTGGCTGTGTGGCAAGGAGCAGAATCCTGCTGAAAAATAAACGAAGCATTGTTGGGAAAGAGATCTCTGATGGAAGGTAGAAGTTTTGGTTCTAGAATAGTGTCAATGTATTTTCTGGCATTCAGTGTCCCATCGATGACATGAAGGCGACCAATACCATCTGCTGACATGCATGACCAAATCATAACACTAACTGGGTTCTTCACAGTTGCTGAATGCAGTCAGGATGTAGCTCTTGTCCTATTCTACGTCTTACATATTTTCGCCCATCACTACCAAATAACAATATCTTAGTTTCATCACTCCATATAACTTGTGACCACTGATCATCTGTCCAATTAATGTGTTCCTTTGCCCACTGCAGTCTTTTTTTTTTTCGTTGCTGAAACTTAAGATAAGGCTTTTTTCGTGGAATTCTACCTCTCAGTCCAACATCTGCTAATCTTCTCCTGATTGTCTTGAACTGACAGAAACACCAGCATCATTCAGATCAATTCTGATGGCCGCTGATGACATTTTCTACCTTGGAGACATAGTCTTTTTATTCTTCTGTCATCAATAGATGTGGTGCACCTTTTTTTGGTCTTTTCCTTCTTTATTTTTTATTGAATTTGTCTCCTGATATCGTAAACAAAACTTTCGGACTCCAGATGTAGTCACTGAACCACCCACCTGTCTTCAATTTCAGTATAGGAAAAACCACTTTCTCGTAACACAATAATATTACATCTCTTTCTAGGTGTCCAGTCTACTCTTTTATTTGATGTCATTGCTTCTTGACTAAATATTAAAAATTTTTACAAAAATTCCTACTTGTAACTGCAAGGTCAGTTACTAACATTTGATTGGTTCTCAGAACAAGAACAGTGATTGGCCAAGAAAGCTAGACATTACAAACCACTTCATAACTGTGTTTTTTATTTATTCTTTCTGCATAATGCAAAAGATCAACTGGGATGTATCACACAAACAGTTTTCCATGCTGTAAAGTTGTCCCAAATGACAGTTTACCATGTGCTACAGCAGGAAGGCATGCACCTCTATCGTACACAGAAGGTACAAGCTTTGTAACCAGTGAACTTTCAGCCACATGTCGAATTTGCATGTTGATACCTCCATCAGAATGCAGAGCAGCAGAATTTTGGTACACATGTTCTGTATATGGACAAGTGCACTTTTATCTGTGAGGGTGTTTTTAATACCCATAAATCACACACATGGGCATCTATGAACTTGCATGTCACACATTCACATTCATTCCAGTGGCGGTTCTCCATAAGTGTTTGGCCAGGGATCCTCCATGACCATTTGGTTGGCCCATACCTACTGCTACCCCATCTGGACGGCGAATTGTATCACACATTCCTATGAGAGGTGTTGCCGGAGCTGTTCCATCTGATTCCAACACCCATCAGGTCAAGAATGTGGTTCCAGCATGGTGGTGTGCCTGCAAACTTCAGTTCAGATATGCAGAACACTTTAGATGCAAAGTTCACAGGGCGATGGATTCGTCAAGGTGGTCCCATAGCTTTGCCACCAAGATCACTGGATCTCATTAATTTGGACATTTTCCTGTGTGGCCATATGAAAAAGGACTAATCTACGAGTGCCCCACTGAAACCGATGATATGGATCTAGTCGCCAGAATCGGGAAATGTGCATCAATCCCTATCCCACAGGTGTGAAGCTTGCATTACAGCTGGTGGAAGGTCTTTTGAGCAATTTCTATGAGTGTGCTCTGTTAATACAATATTTTCTGAAGTATCTCCTCTCATTGTGTTAATTCTTTAAATGTGTCAGTGGGAAACTACGCTTTAATTTCTCACTACTTGCATTTTGACCAAACATTCTATGACAAATATTGCTCATATAGCTACCTTTACCCCCTAAAATTTTACCCACTTGTTCAAATTCACCCTGCCCACCTTGGGGAAAATGAAAGCATTCTTTATGGATGTTGGATAGGAGAGATTAGAGAAGAAATCATTATCTTTTTTCCACTTTACTGGACAGACACATCTTTGAACTAACTATGTTCCCTTTGTAGTGCTGAAAATTATCTGGATAGAGATTTCTTTCAAAATCTTACAGAAATATTAAATGTAGGCTTTTGATATGCAATGTGATATCAAATAAAATGACTGTTTTTATAAATTTCGATTACAAATTTCTTCTAGCATTCATTTAGCTTTTCTAGTGAGAACTACATTAACGTACCCAGCATATTCCAAGCTTTCTGAATATTTGAGCTGTACCACAACTCTCGCTATAATCTGTTACTTTAAAATAGGCACTTGAAGGTCATAATGGCCCTTCCCTTAACTATGATCATAATGTATGTCATCATCACTGATAACAGAAAATTAAGGGATTTTAGCAAATTAAAGGATTCAATCTTTTTTTCCACAGCAGTTGTTGCCATGGTTATGTGTCATGATTTGAGGAAGGGAAAAAATCATCAGGATACCTATTCTAAAGAAATAGACTATCGTACACTTAGTAGAAATAGACTATAGACTGTTATAATAGAAATAGACTATTGTACTGGGCATCGATGAATTTGCACTGGAACAATTATAAATGTTTACTAGCAGAAATAAATTTTTAGATATTATAATGAGGATATTCTCTACCCTCACATCAGTAATTCATCTCTCATTTTAGGCAATCTTGCAGAGGTATAGCATGATTGCCAGAACTGTTTGGTAGGAGATGAACAAAAAAACAGTCAACAGCAGTACATAGCTAGTAAAACTTTTATTTTTATTTGAGGATGTTATATTTTTAAATATTCCAATGGAATACTATTGTCAGTATGAAGTACAATTTGTCGGGAAAGTGGCTTACAACCATTTTACATACTGAAAAAACCACAGAAACCATACGTTACCAGCATATACACTGCCTTAAATTTTAAAAAGTTACAGCAAAGTGAACAGTCTATTATTTGATACCTTTTATAAAATCAAAGCAATTATATATGAAAGAAATAATTAAAAAAAAAACTTTAGTATTTATATGTCAGCTGCATGCAAAATGATTGTGTAATAAAAAATGAACAGTGAATGCAATGAATTACCAATCATAGTTTTACTTCTATAGTTTATATTTAATTACACAATATATTTTTCTTACAAAAAGTTTAGGGTTTCTTCAGAGGAAAGTATATTTTAAATTTTCATTCACTTATAATGTGATGATACATTAATGAACTGAATGACATAAATGTACATGTGCTTACTGGCTTACAATATTTTTTTTTTTTCTTTGCATTAATGTTGTAACAGCTTTAAATAATATTAAAATCTTGTAGTTTAAATAATTTAAATAGATGAACATTAAGGTATTTGTGAATGGCAATATTTGAAAATAGGCTCGAGTGCCACGTGCGACTCTCGCACGAAGAATGTAAATTATTTTTAAATGTTAGAATATGTTTTCTCTTCTTGTTTGTATGTCGCCATTTTTAGTGTTAAATAAAAGTTATTGCTGTGTTCCATCATTGGAGTTGCTTCATTTCGCCAAGGAAGTATCACAATGTGCGTCTAAATTAATTTAATAGCTTCTTAATATATGTATACTATACATTTTATCAAACTTCTCTTTATTTTAATTTAACTTAAATTAACAGAGCTTTTACATGAAACAATGCTGTTTACAATTTATAATAAAAATATTTAAAAACGAAATGACCCCCCACCGCAAAAATATTTAAAAACTTTTAATAAATTTTAAAATTTTAAATAGTTTTTAATTTTTTTTTTTTTTTTTTGACAAATTGGTAACACCATTTTGTTGCAATTATTAACCAGGTGGAAGTGGATAAACTACTCTGAAATTCCCCCCCCTAATAATCAAGCTTTTTATTATTTAAGGAATAGAAAGACATCAAATTTTATCTCCAATCATAAAACCATTAACAATTTTTTATGAATAGGATAACCTCACCACATACTTTTTATTTTTTATTTATTGGAAAGAAGGGGCTCAGTTATAGAAAAAGTTAAAAGAGGGAAAAAAGGATTCTGGAATTTATTAAGACTCCAATTCTTGCAAGGTTAATTAAATCCATCTTATGCAAATAAATTATCATAACACAGCATGTACTTATTTTTTTTTTTTTTTTCTGGATAGTATTTTATTTTCATTTAATTTTCTGGATAGTATTTTATTTTCATTTAATTTATCTGTAAAACACAATAAATCGTATATTGCTATTCAGTACCTGTGTTTGTTTGGGAGACATCAGTTATATCTTCTGGTAAATTTTCAGGCATAGCAATCTTTTCAGCAATGCTTTCCCCAGCAGAAGATAAATCTAATGGCACTTCTGAAAATAACCAAAGCAAAAAGAATAACTTTAATAACATTAAAGATGCTTGAATTTTTTAAAATAATTCTTTACTGCATATTAATTTCAACCTTTAAACCAATTAATAAAACAAAATTATGGTATAATAATTATACATTGTAAAGTTTATGTTAATCAAAGCTCTATTTTTTAATCTTTTAAGAAATGCAAATTAAATAAGCAAAAATTTAAGTTTTGAAAGAGAAACCTTAGGCAACTCAAAGCTGGAGTACAATGGTTCTGCTTCTTCCTGCTGGAATGCTGTGCTGATTGTTGATGAATCAGTTTTTACTTGTAATTATGTGAGAAGGCCAATCGGCACAGTAGCCAGATTTATAATATTTAATTTGTAAATAATACAGCTACTAGTGTATTCTCAGCTTGCAAGCAGCAAAAGTTAATTTCTGCTACTCTTCTTTCTTAGTAATGAAATTTCAAGCTGAAATATTTTTAAAGATTTGTTTTTATGTGATTTTTAATGTCCCTTTTGCATTATTACATTCTAGTTAGAGATGGGATAAAAATTTGGCCTACTACCTGACACGTTTGTCTAGTATTTATATAACTTCACATGAATAATTAATCACATGAATAATAAAAGCATCATATGAATAATTAAGTCTTATGCTTTATCTCCCATAAAATATTATATGTTATAAAACTTTAAAAAATTTTAAAGATTATAAAACAAAAAATGTTAATTAGGTGACTTTTTAGAATTCTTTTAAAACTAGCCATGTTTTTATATGCTTTTACTTAATTCACTCCCGGTCACTAAGGGCAAAATTTTGTCATCCATTTTTAAATCATTTCCTGATAAGCTATTGAGCTCATTTTATTTAACGATTAATTTTGTAAAAGAGAAATCATTTAATCTTTTTTCCCCCTTTCTTTAAAAAAAAAAAAATACTTATATATAATATGATGATGGGTAAAGAGTAATAATGATGACGGGTAAAAATAACAAATAAGGTTTTAAATGCAAACTCTTTAATTGAGATTAACCCTTTGCGGCTCAGTGTTCCACTACATGGAACACCCAAATTGAATCGCTTCTGAAACCTTTAAATTCAACCGTAAATAGATAAAAATGCCTTTATAATATATTTTGAACTTTTCTTTTTAAACAGTAGATAGCAGCATATCACAAGGAGACACAGAATTTTCATTTATTATGTGTTATTAAAATCCACTTTTTCTCAAGTAATTTTCTCTATTTTTTTAATGATATAAAAAATTTTATTTGGAAAAAAAATTAGGCATAATTTCGGGTATTCCATTAGTGGGAACACTGCGCCTTTAGCGATCTCATGCTGTCACGAATCTGTGCTTAGAACATCTGTGCTTAGGCGAGAACATGCGTTGTTTATGTTTTCTGTTTCCGTTGTTTTGGTTGGGGGGGGGAATGAATTCAAACAAAGCAGTATTGTGGGGTGAGGTGTGTTTTGTGTTATGAAAGCCTTAATATTGGCATCTCGAATTTTTTTAGAGTAGTTTTTAGGCAGGAATTTTATTAGTAGCTTGATCCATCTTTACTTAGACCTGCGCGAATTTTTTGCTGTCACTTTTTAGTCTCATTCCCGTTTATCTTCAATAATTGTGTAGATAGTTTTCATGTATGTATATATCATAGGCTTATTTTTCTTTATTGTATATTAATCATTGGTGGTTTGTGCTTCCATCAAAAAGGTGTGACTTGCTTCGAACAATTTCACGAAGCTAAGAAATAGGAAAATTTGTAAATATTTTTGTATATAGAACTTGTGTTTATAGATATTTATCTCATTTATCCATATATATTCAAGAATATTGTGTATATCCTAGAAACCATGTATACAGCCATAATACAGAGTTTTTTCATTCTTATACAAACGCTTCTACTCATTCGTGCTTCACTGCAATGCTCGCTTAGTCGCACTTTTAAAAAGCTCTGGTGGCGCAGTGTTCCACCTCATGAAACACCCACAGAATTAAAACGGTAAGTGCTATTTTTACAAACTTTTACTTGTATACGCCTTTAGGACTAAATAGACTGCATACAACTTTTTTTATTGAAATTTCGATACGTATAGTGCGCCGCAAAGATTTTAAAAAAAAATCAAATAAAGTGCAACCATGCACCATTCTCAAATTAGCACTAACAAACAGTTGCATGATGTAGAGTCTATTACTCTTACAAAAATATTTCCTGTATCAAACAAGTATTCCAGGGATTTCACACAGCTTAGTTTCATCAAGGGGATTGATGACAAACCATTATGTATTATTAGTTATGAGTGACTTCTCAAATGAATCCATGAGATTTTTAGTGTTGAGCAGCACTTATTATTAAAACGTGAATACAGTAATAAAGCTATTTTTAGAAAGAAATAAAAGTTAATGACAGAAATAAAACGTTATGTCTTCAAATTTTTGTCAAGGTACTCAGCCTGAACGTTTTTCCATGGTTTCTTTTGAAATATGAAAAATTAATTCTCGAAACTGGTTACCCTCTCACAATTGCCAAGAAAAACATATTTTTTTCCCCTTCCTCCAATTTAAAAATTAATTGTTTCAATAAAAATATTTTTTTCAAAGAAATAAATCCTTTTATTAAAATTTTATTCTGTATTCTTATAAAACCTGCCTTTCCCACCTTTCAAAATCTCTTTTGAATTTTTTTTTTTTTTTTTTTTTTTTTTGGTTTCAAAATCTTCCAAATTTTGAAGTTTAGTCCACCTTTAAATGTTATTTCAAAAATGACCACGGAAACTGAAACTAAGTGATTAAGGGATAATAATTACAGTTATTAAAAATTTTTAATTTGCTGTTAAAATAGTTATTATAGAAAGCATTAAAAATGAATAAATCCAATTTTAAAACTGCAATTATACATAACCTGTTGTACTGTACCATCCAACTTTGTAAGAGTAAAAATGCGAGGGGTAGGGAAATTAGAAAAAAATACAAAAGGAATTTAACTGGGAAAATTTACACATATGTGAATATTCTGAAGCAATTAGACAGGAAAAACATACTAGTCTAAAATCAAACAGGTGATTTAATATCGTTACAGCAACTTTATCACTTCTGCTAAAAAGAATTTCAAAATATCATACTTCATAGTACCCATTATCTTATTTACAGTATGCAATTAAATTATTCAAAAGATGCCTCATAAGAAAGGATTTATTAAGAAGTTTTAAGGGGATGGAAGGGAAGGAAGTAAAATATTGAATTTTTCATGTTATTTTTTCCTAAAAATAACATGAATCACCAAATTAAAATTTTTGATCAAGTGACAAAGATATAACAAATCACCGAACTGGTACAATTTATTACGATTTTACAAAAAAATACATAATTTTCCAAAAAAATAATTTCAACTGCATGATTACAAAACTAGAATAGTTTTCATAGACATAGTTTTCATAGGGGAAGGAGATGTAAAATTTGTTAGAATACAGGTAATTCAAAATTTTAAATAATATTTCATTTAAATTGGAGATTGAAAGGGACTAAAAATGGCTTAAAATCAATTTCAGTAATAATGTTTGAAATCTTCAGAGAATATAAACAAAATTTCTACTGCTAACATATATATGTACAAGAATGACCAATGTAAGATTCCACTTAATTCCTTAATCCATACTGCAATTCAGTTAACACTATACAAATGTATATATATATTAATTTTTTTTTCGTTTTTTACCTGCAATAGTTGGTTCAGAAGCTGGAGATGGGGCCATGCCATACGAATAATAATAAGAACGATAACAGGGAGGATAAAGCTGCAAGTATGATGCCACTGTTCCACTACACCAAGGAGATTTTTTACATACATTTTCATCAACATTTTGAAGAATATAACTAGGATCATTCTCTTGATTTTTTTCAACATTACTTTTATTGCACAGATGCTCTAAAAAATTTAAGTACAGTATTAAGTGAAAGAAAACATTTCCGTAAAATAAAATAAAGAAACAGATTACATAATTTCATCATCAACTACACAATCTACACAAAGAACTTAATAGAATTTTTTTTTTTTAAAGGAAAAGAGAGAGTGAGAAACAAATCTGGAAAATATAACATACTAAAATATGAATACATAATTAGCAATAAAATGTTTCCTAATATTAGTTAAATTATAAATTTATATTGGAAAATTCAAAATCACATACTATTAGCAGTAATTACAAGTAATATTTTGAAGATTACATAAAACATTAAATTTTGAGTCAGTTTTGATTTAAAACTTACTTGTTTCAAAATTTATTATTTCAATAAATTTATTGTATATTTTCATTTTTTATCATTGGCACTTGATTTTGAAAACAGCAAAAGTTACAATGGGGGGAGATGATTCTACATATTTTATTCATGATGGCTAAATGATAAATTTAAATCGCATTTTTTATGTTTAAAAAAAGTGGCTGAGTGCAGCTATCTCAAACTCACAGTTTGATTCTATGCCTCAAAATATATAATACCAAAGTTTGTGAAAATTACAAAAGTCATTTCAGAGTTACCTGCTCAATTTTACACCTGGCCAAAATAAAATAACTTAACCTATAATTCCATTAAACTTCACTTTATTTATTTACTTGTCAATAAATGATCATATGCTTAAATATTTCAGACTATATTATATAATGCTGGCTATTAAAATGATACAAAGTACAGTCAAAAGTCGTTAATTCGGACACCCATAATCCGGACCTCAAAGCTAAAAACTTTCTGTGCATGCGCCGCGTTGGCAGATGCGCACAGGCGTTTTACGCGTGCGCGTAAGACCTTGACTACTGCGCATATGTGTGTGCGCAAGTGCAGAATACGTTTTCGCCAGCTCGTTTAATGTATAACGGACGGTGTAAGCTAAAATTATCTAATTATCTATTTCAGTTAATGTTGCAGATTGCGTTGTTCCTTAATCTTGGAATTGGATCAGGCTTATTATTTTTTGCAGACTGTAAGAGCAATTTTATAAAAGTAAACTTGAACTTTCGATTATGTCAAATAGAATTTCCGATGCTGGGAACTTCCAAAGGATCTACAAAACGAAAGTATGTTTCGATGTCCAACAAACAAAAAGTGGAATTGCTGCAAAAAAATGGATAAAGACATGAAGAATGTGACAGAGAGGTTAGTGAAACGAACGAAAAAATTTCGATTGACAAGTTAGTCGGTATTCTCAGCACAGCAATTAATGGGACTTGAACAGCGGAACTTTGTAACTGAACAAGAAATCATGTCTGTTTATAGAATTAAAGAGAAAGTATTATCACATAAAACGAAGCAACTTAAACAACTTACATTGAGAGAAATGTTTAATAAAGTAAACAAATAAATATTAAGCTTTTTTTTTTCGTAAATTTTGATACCCTTTAGATCATAATTGTTCTTTATTTCATAAATTACGGTTTCATATTTTTAATTTTAGAATTTCTGCATGCCATCTTACGAGATTTAAACTGATGATCTATAATCCGGAAAAACCGATAATCCGGAATTGCTGAAGTCCCGACGAGTCCGGATTAACGACTTTTGACTGTATAAAGAAAAAACACAAGATTTGCAACATGCTCTTTCAGTGTTGAAATGCAAATTATTAGCATATTACAGCATATGCTAATTATAAGCAAAAATAATGACAGTTTCAATCAGTATAAAGAGACAGACTGAGACACCAATTTTTCATTCAAAAATTGGATTTACTCATTGTTTTGTAATGGAGGTAGTATTATGCCTCATGTAAAAAGAAAGAACTAATTCCAGCAATATCTGAATTTCTATCACAGGTGAATCACAATCTACTAAGACCGTAGGTTGTCATACTGCATATTTACTGCTTACACGGACCACCATGAATGTTTGCTTTTGATGAGTTTAGAAGGAGATACGACTTATGAAATTCCAACAGCTCCACTCATCAATGCTCTAGATAATGTAACTTGTTCATACTACTGTTATGGAATGTGCAGCCCTATCACATAACCTGAGCCAAGAAACAGGCACTGGCAACTGAAAGAAATCAGATTTACAAAGGTGTATTGAATGATTGAGGCAGGTAAGCACATGAATCCTATGATGCTGTCTTTTCTGTTAAATCCCACTTTTGCTTAAAGCATCACAATGATCATATTTATGTGTAGGGGCATGGAGTAGAATGAATATTGGAAATTTCATTCTTTATTCTCAAACCTGCCCACCAACTTAGACTGATGGTGTGGGGTATCATTGGAAACACATCCCATTTACCTCTAGTCTGCATATCTGGTGCTTTGACCAGCCAGCTTTATCTAACTGAGGTTTTCATGCCTTTAACTAGGCCATACCTATAGGGCTACCATCTTCTCAACTTTCAACAGGACAACAAGAGTCTGCATGTTGCTCACAAAATAGCCATGTTTCCTCAGCACACAAGTGCTCAACTTTTGCCTATACTAGTGCATTCTCTAGATCTCTCACCAACATCCGATGAATGGTTGCAGAATGACTGGCATGCTAGTACCGACCAGCCAGTATTGATAGATGAATTTTGGAATAGAACTGAAGCCGCATAGGCTGAAATACTTGTTATTGTTATAACGCCTATTTGAATCAATGCACAGGTGTATAACAGCTACTAATGTTCCTAGAAGTGCTCAGAGTACCAATTCCTGAACATTCTGTACCTCAAAATGACCTGAAATTTCAATAATTTCGTCATTCTATTATAACATATGTGTAAAAAAAAATGTGATTCTTCCTTTCTTCTAGCAATTTTAACTGCCAGCAGTGAACTAACTAATGAAGCACATGACCTTTTCTCCACTGATTTCATACAAATTTTGCATAATTATCTACAACCTTAAAAAACTGAATATATGTTGAAAGGGACAGCTTGAACATCTCAAAAGTAAACAAGAAAATCACAGTTCCAAATAATATTCCTATAATTTGAATTGCTTCTTTCATTATCAGAACCAACCATTTTGAGGTTAATGAATTTAGTTATGATGAAGTCTCATTACTATATACTATAATCCAGTAATATCCTTCTTTTACAGTTGTTTTTATTATTTTTTTTTAATGTCACATTATCTTGAATTAAAAAGTAGTCATGAAAAATCCATTCAAGGAAATAATGTAAAAACTAAATACTACAAAACTTTCATCTAAAAAAAATCTCTTTCATATGTTTTATTCTAAGTTGCAGTTTCACATAAAAATATTCAAAAACTAAAACACTGGTTACATTGAGTAAATTATCATTAACTCAATTCAAATTCTCTTTAGAATATAATACTTAATTCAAATTCCAAGGACAAAGCACACTTTCATTAACCTTCATTAAAATAATAATATCTCTCCCATACATTATTTACACCACTGGCATGTACTTAAGTTTTCTTCCACTGAATTCTGGTATCTTTAAGTTTCAACAAATGATCATTTATTCAGTGCATTCCCAATACCAATTATTTTAATGTTAAACATTATCCGTAAATTGCAAATAAATTAATGAAACAGTACAGTAAGTTAGAACAATATAAATGAAATATTGCTTTTAGTAGAAAATTTTTATAACATGTAACAGAAATTTGTTATATTACAAGCTTTTGTGGACACGTTTTATACTCACATTATAATATAACTGTCATGCAATGAAACTTTCACCCCTGACTGAGAATTAAGCACTATATTATTTGTAAAATATAACATATTATTAAAAGAAACTTTTACAATTTGATTAAAGTAATATTATAAGTGTACTGTAACAAATTACAGCTCAATACCACAATTTTAAACCTTCCGGAGGGGCCATTTATTTTGACAAATTTGCTAAGTGTTTCTTTATATTAAACTGCTCACAGACTGACTGGCATATCACCTATGGCACCCCTTCACTTATTTCCTGCACAACTTTAGTAACTTTGAAACCTGGGCGTGAAATGCACAATTTATCAATGCCATTTTCACAGACAGAAACACATATATCATTTTTTTCAGAACTGGTAATACTTTGCTATTTAGCAACTGAAAATTGGAATGTTTCAGGCTGCATTTACTCAGTCAAAAATTTTCATGCTAATAAATTGTTTCTAACATGGTCGAACTAAATGCCTTTTCAATATCGAAAATCAGTGACCAACTTTTCGTGTGACAAATTTTTAGGCAAAAACATTTCTCCTGAAAGTTCTTAAGTGATATAAGGCTATCTTCACCCCAATCAAAACTAATTTCACGCAGGGCAACTTTCAGAAACATTGCTTTCAGTAACCCTGTAGCTTGCAGTTCCGATTTCATCATTTTCCTACTACTACTAGTAGTAGTAGTGCACTTTACATAATAGTAATGCACTTTACATTATGATCTAGTACTGCATAAGAGCACTGATGTTCTTGGATAAGAACACTTATGTTACTTTTCCATCACTTAATTGCAAAATACAGACAGAAAGATGAGCCCTGCAATTGCTAAGGAAAAATGCTTTTTCTTTGAGTCCTTTACCTTGTAAATATCATCTGACAGATAATATAAATTTACTTTCAAATTGTTTTTGATACAAATTACTGGTCATCTATGTATTAGCTTCTCTCTCAGAAATTATTACTAATAGGAATTTCACGATTAACGATTTGAAGCAATGTATGTTTTTCCAATAACTGGCAAACTCATTGGACAAAATAGCAACAACAGTCCATCTTTATTTAAACACCGATCACCCCACCCTCCATTTAAATATATAGTTTATAGCACTTTGTAGTATAAAGCAGTCTCATTTTAATTGTTTAACTGTTTATCAGTATATTCATCATTTTTAATGACATCTTTCCAAAAGAAATGGAAACTCCCTAGCCAGGTCCGAAGAGAGATGGAGATGCAGCCGAGACCTATAAAACTCAATGGGGGCACGTGAAGCCCAACACACCCTGT